TAAACTTAACTACCAGAAACTACCAAAAAAACTACCAAAAAATTAGTTTAAACTAGGATTCAGGAGTTAAGATTGAATAGTAATTGAACAATCTAGAAGTAACTATAAAAACTTAAAGTCAAAATAAATATGAGCTCCGAACGTGGGATATACAAACTTTCATAAACAATTTGTCGAAACCGCTATGCAAATATGGACGAATTTTCTCCAAGAATGATTTCTGTAAATGATTAACAAAATGAAGGATAGAAATCTTATCAATTAGTTTTTTCTTTGGGTTTTATTTTTATAGCCGATTTTGCCTAAACTTTGTCATTTCTTCGGTCGAGACGTCAAAAAATACGTTACCCAGTTTAAAGTTGTGAATTAGGTTAATTAGCCACATTTGCAACCCGGTCAAACCCTAAATAAATAGATTTTCGGAATTTTATCGAATTCGTGGCTTCAACGCGCCGTTAAAGTACGTAATTCCGACAATCTCTGACCGGAAACCTGGGCAAACTTCATTCTCCAACATCCATTCTCTGATCACCCCCGTGGTGAAAATTGAACGTCTAGAGGAAAATCCAAGGGGAAATAGGGTGCAATTTAGGGGAAGAGGATGGCAGGGGTGACGCTCTTACGGGATTCAGGAGGAGCAGGAGAACGAAAAGGAGAGGGGAACGAGGCTGGCACTGTTTATTTGATCGTCGCGTCTAATTGGCTCATCGTCTTTTTCGAGGGGGGATTCCCCGAGTCCAATTCTGAATATCTAGGCGGGACCAGGGGTGGGACGTCAATCCCAGCGAAAGCATTTTTAGTCGACGTTCCTCGGCCATTTTCGGGTTGTCCTTTTTGTTTTGTTTTCCACGAGAAAATATTTTCGGAGCTTTTTTGTTCATTTGGTTTCTTGGGAGGTTTGGTTTTGACATTTTTTCCTTACTTTGACGATGATTTGGGATAGCTATTTATATCTGGAAATGCTGTGGATCTAGTTCCTTTTTCAAAAATGGAAACTGATTGAATAAAGCTAGACTCGCATTTTCCGACAACTCCAACTTGAAAATTCCACTTTTAAAGCTTTAAGATGCAAAAACGATCTCGCTAGGCTTCATGAAAGTCAGAAAAAGTTTTCAAAAAATTTTCACCATCGCCCTTTTGAGTGTCGGCATCTTAAACCTCAGCCATTTGAATGCCGACATCTAAAGCATCACCCTTTCGTATGTCGGTATTCTGAGCATCAGCGTCTTGGATATCGGCATTTTGAGCATCACTACGTTGAATGTCGCATTTTGAGCACTACCCTCTTAAGTGTCGGTATCTTAGGTGTCCCTCTTTTCTATGGCGGCATTCCCATCAAAATCGACTTCAATTTTAATGTCCACATTTCCGTTTAGTCGTTAATTTCCAGTTTTTTTAGCCTATGCCAGTTGAGCGCCGGCGCAGTCTGTTCAACCGTGCCGTCGTGGTAGTGGCGCGGAGTGGGCTGCAGCGGGGTGGTGAAAAATGTAAAAAGTTGTCAATTAGAGTTTTAGTGAAAGGAGAACGCAACTACCAATTGTTACTGCTAGATACTAATCCACGTGCCTGGGAATGACAGCCTATCTATGCTTTTCTTCCTGCTTTCCGGGGGCTGGGATACAGAAACAGGGATCCATCGCGTCCTTTTTGGCTTTTTAAGCGTTTAAATGGCTTTTTCAAAATTTTCCTAATTTCCACGCGATGGGAAGATTGTGATAATTTGGTAATTTCGACGTTTTTACCGTTGTTGCGACTTTGTTAAGGCTTAATGAGGGTTTAGCTTCGATGTTGTAACTTTCAGGGATCGTGAGAATGATGCAAATGAACAGTTTATAAGTAATTAAACTACCCTTAAGACGAAACTTACGCGTTTTTTTTTTGTTTTGCATTCTTTTAAATTTTTTTACATAGTGTCAGGCAGGTTCCGAACATCTCAACGTACCTTTTATGGCTCTTCCGTAATGCACTCATAACTTCATTCAAACGTTTAAAGCTAGTTGTGCATTTTTAACCAATTTCCTAACAATTTCCAAACCAAAATTTCGGTTTTTCCGACCCGGTGCATCCGCCTGATGCCCATCTTCGAGGTGCTAAAAGCACATAGTCGTTGAATTTGCGCCAAATTAGTCCCTCGTGGCCATCCGCCCAGCCCCAAGAAGAAGGGCCCCCCTCCCTACCACACCGGATTTCCATTTTTTTGGCCCGAATTCCGGATTGCCGGGCGGCCCCGTGAAGTCCGTTTCCCCGACCCCCGAATGCTCGAATTCCCAGGATTTTAAGATTTTCTGAATCGACTCTCCCCAATGCAGCGACTGTCCATTGGTGGGTTTGGCTGGATGAGAAGCACCGGCAATCACGGAATCCTAGTCTATGATTACAGCACTTAATATTAGATGTTAGAAAGCTTCGCATCCGCTTCTTTACGGCTGTCATTTCCTCTTTTCCGCGTGTCGCACTGCCTTTAGGCATGAAAATTTTGATTCGAAACCTGGGAATTGAATCAGTTGTTTCTAATAGAACACCTCAAAATTCATCAATCAAATATTCTGGCGGGAGAGAGAGCCGAGAGAGAGCGAGAGAGATAGAGCGATGCCCAAGAAGAGATGATACGAGAGTGACAGAAAGATATGTCGCGAGAGAACGAAAAGAAGCTAGATAGAAGGGGAAAGAGATAGAGAGAGCGAGAGAGAGAGAGAGAAAGAGAGTCAAAGCGAGAGAGAGGGAGTTCCGCTAAAGCCCAAATTACGGCTACGCAATATAGATTACAGGATTACCATTTAAACTCGTTGGGCTGGCAAAACTAACTACAAGCCTCAAAAGGCCTGCATGGCATTCTTGTCGTTTTATTTAGCTTTCAATCAGATTTTCAAGCCATAAATTTCCGGAACCATATCATTTGCCCCTCAAAACAGATCTCCGCTTTACAAATCCTCTGACGCACCCCCCGGGTCACACACTACTTCCAGAAACGCCCAGACTCCATGAGAATACTATCCACACCCCAGAAATAATCCCCAAAACGCTCCAGACACCCAAAAATAGACCCTTTACCTGGTACTACCCGGCAAAAATATATCTCTAGGTAGTGGGCGTGGCGGATGGAGGGGGACAATTAAAAACAGAGAAAACGCGGGCAGGGCGGGGCGCCGAATAGAAAAAGTAAATCCGCCGGACACCTCTTGACGCAATTCTATACAAAGCGGGCACAAGAGAGAGAGAGAGAGAGAGGGAACGAGAGAGTGATAGAGAGAGAGAGGAGCGGGCGATGAGAAAGATGAGAAAGAGAGCGTACGCGCAAAAAAAAAGCGATATTCGGGCAACAAGCCCCCTGGGGCGGGAAATTTGATATTTGCCGCCCGATTTGGTAATGCGCACCGGGCTTTGAGCATCTTTGCTTTTGAGCTCGGATAAGCGCACGGGATTTGTGGCTTCCCGGTCTGGGATATATTCTGAACCTTTCGATGTTCGAGTTTGGTGATGAATCGATATTTCGAAAAATTTCCAGGACCAATTTTTCAGGTATGGGACGGGGTATTGGTATTTTTCAAGTATTTTCCTAGCTAGTAGCCTTCTGAATTTTAATCTAATGGGGCCGCCGAGAAGTTTATATCAGCTGTTAAATTAAATGTTGCACCGTTTCCATAGAATCTGGACAAAACAGAATAGACCGTGTCATTAGGTCAAACACGTAGTCGTCAAAAACTAATTAAAAATAATATATCAACAAATAAAAACCTATGAAAACCCACTTGCACGCCCCTTTAACCGCTCCAAAACCCATTCTTCCAGATGCCTTCTCCGAAAGTTTCCGCACCCTCGCCCTTACGGCACGTCGGAATTCGTCGCCGCTCACCCGGAAAAGCACGAAAAAGGTAGTCATCTAATCAGTCAATTACATAGTGTAATCAGATGAAAAGATACCTAACCAAACCATACTTCCAGATGAAAAAATCACGGCTAATCTCGAAAAACGGGGTCTGCAACGTGTACAACGCTAACGTGCCGAAAAAGGATAGACAGTATTTACGGTATGCCTAGAATTTCGAAATCAAACTGACAAATTGGTTTTAAGGGATATTTTCACTACCATGATTGATGTCAAGTGGCGGTATATGTTTGTGATTTTTGCGTTGGTGTTTATTAGCAGGTAAGCCGAAGAAATGACACGCTTCGGCCTTTCGAATTCTGAAAATGTGACGTTTGGAATCATTTTAGTTGGTCGTTTTTTGCGACGCTGTATTATATGATTGCGTGGTTCCACGGCGATCTGCCGGAGCAGCTGATGGAGGCCGGAATGAACGTTAACCATACGCAATGTATCGCAAACCTAGAGGGTTTCTACGCGTCATTCCTATTCGCGGTGGAGACGCATCATACGATAGGATATGGGCATAGGTATCTCTCTCTCCCTCTCTCACTCGCCCTCTCTCTCTTTCTCTCTCTTTCTCTCGCTCCTTGTCTCTCTCACGCTCGCACTCTCTTTCGTTTCGTCTTTTGATACCTTTCTAGCATGAGCTTACAAATTCGATACTTTTAGATACACAACAACCGAGTGCAAAACTGCTGGGCTTGTAGTTTGTACCCAATGCATCTGTGGGCTCTTGATCCAATCTTTCATGGTCGGGCTCGTTTTTGCAAAAATGGCAAGACCCAAGAAACGGGCGGAAACTATTATATTTAGGTATGCTTTACAATAGTTTCTCGAACGAATTTTTCCAGCGAAAAAGCGGTGATCTGCCTCCGAGACGGTCAGCTGTGTTTCCTTTGTCGGGTCGGAGACATGCGGAATACGCATCTCGTGGAAGCACACGTACGGCTCCAATTCATTACCGACCGGGAGACGAGTGAGGGAGAGGTGGGTCTTAAACCAAAAAATGAGTTAATACGCTCTGTTGAACGTTAATGATGGTATCGTTTTGTCCGTTTTGAATATCGTCTTTAGAGATCCGTGTCTCTAAAAAATGCCCCACGTTAAGTGTGGTCCTCACCTTCTTCATTTTTTAAAGCCTTTCAACGCTTTTAAATCATTGGGCAACCCTTGCCAACAAACGGGAAAAACGGCACAAAACTTTTCATAAAACTTAGGGTAAGCTCTGCTGTTATCTCTCACTCCAAATAGCCATTTATACAAATAGCAGCCTGATAGTAGCCTGATTTTTCCCAAAGAAAAAAGTATTTTACCAGGTTTTTAGAGGTATCTGGCACCACAAATTTCGTATCAATAACGACAACCAATAAAACAAAATACTGTAAGATCTGAACTACGACAAGCTACAAAACCGTCCCCAAAGTTGGAAATCGAGCTTGCTCTCAATTTTAAGAACAGATTTTGAATCATCTAAAAATCCCTGCAAAATATAGGCTTCGCTAGCAGACCCCCAGTTTTGGAGTCTTTATAAAAACCTATTTTCTGACAAAAAATCTACGGTTATTATTCCAGATCGAACCCCTGCATCAATACGAGATGAAGGTCGGCCCGAGCATCACCGACGACGACCGGATATTCCTGGTATGCGGAAATGGGATATTTACTGGGAACGATGCCTATTCCCTTCTCTAGGTCTGGCCCACCACATTATGCCACGTGATCGACAAGGAGAGCCCATTGTATGAATATGCCGCTCATGCGCTCCCGTCTGCGCAATTTGAGATTATTGTTTTGTTGGAGGTGGGCGTCTGGGAATTGCGTAACAAGTCGTAATAAACGTAATAAGTTAACCCGAAAATAAAAATAAAAATTTTCTGGTCGATACATTCCCGTAAAATAAATCTAAACCGAAATTGCCGCTTTAAAGGTGTGACGACAGCAAGAATCAAGGCTTTTTGATACCTAGCCCTTAAAAACCATATGAAAATCGATGCAGGGTATCGTCGAGTCGACCGGTATGACAGCCCAGGCGAGGACAAGCTACCTGCCGACAGAGATTTTGTGGGGCCACCGGTATACTGTAGTTTGATGTTTGTATAGCTTTTTCTCCTAGGTTCCGAAAGTTGGTCACCTACCAGCGGAGCAACGGGTCCTACCAGATCGACTATAACCTGTTCAACTGCACGTATCCGGTGAAAACGCCGAGCAGTTCGGCGGCCGAGTACTACAAGAGCAGTCGGAACGTGGGTGTCAATCTATACGGAGCGGTAGATTAAATGGAAGCGCCAGAAGACCTAAAATGTAAACTTTAAAGGGACGGGCAAGGCCTTGATTTATTGGAAGAATTTCTTGGGCGCGAAGCGCAACTCGACCGCGCCATTAAAATGTCGTAATCGATTACGCAATCCAAAAAAGCGCGTGCGCTTTGCGTTGAAAAATTTGAAGTAACCGTACGAACCCGTATCACCACGTACTTTCAGTCCTCCGAGTACTTCTGCCACGACCACCACGAGCACCGACTCGATGAGGTCAGGAGTATGGAGAGCACCCCGACGCCATCAATACTAACCAGCTACCCCAACTCACCGCTTCCTAACGGCATCAAGGTAACGGCTTCTTCTGCTATTTCTTTTTTTCCTTAATTTGCTTCATATTTTTTCTGCGAAATCACACCTTTTTGCAGCCCCAAAACCCCGACGCGTCGAACAGCTCGATACCGCCGCCGTCAATTGTCGTGGAGTGCCCCTCGAATTGTGCCTCGCCCAACCACGCCGACCAGAAGAAGAAGTACACGAACTGCCGGCCGAACAACAACATTTTCAACTTTTACACGCGGGACACTTCTTGGTATGATTTTGTCGTCTTTTTTGAGCATTGAAATTGGCTTTAAAATCAGCAATATCACGATTTTTAGCGCGCTGAGCAGCGGCGACCTGTCCGGCTGCACGAGGCCGTCCACGGCGCTATCGGATTTGGAAGAAGAAAGGGACCCACTATCGCCACCGCCAGGTATTATCCAGATTTTTATAAGGTGAAAAATAATTTTGGAAATGTAAAGGCCCGAATCGTAAAAAATTTCAAGTTGTAAAATAGGTTTTTAAAAACTGAAAACTACAGCTTCCCTTCGTTTTTACCAATTTCCAGGCGCATACTAATCAACAACGAAAAAACATGAACGGGTTAAGATGGCTAACACAGTTAAACGCAGTTAAAATGGAAGGACATGAAAACCACACAATTATATTATTCAGCTTTAGGCAACAAGCGACTCCTCCAAGAAGAGCTCCGGTGCATCGACGATGAGGACGCAATTATTTAAAACATATTTTAATGTGATTACTAATCCACCCGGCTAATATTTTGATTTCTAGCAACCTCGACAGCCATATTTTTTTGCACACGTATGGGTCCACGTCTAGTCTCGATCTTGCAAGATCTCAAATTTTACAAAACTCCCGAAATCCCACCCACCCCATGTTTACCGGTACACCCCGCGACGGCTTTCTGATGATGAGTGTATGTATTGTGTAAATCTTATTCAGTATAAAAACTTCCTATGCGAAATTTAAACGTGCTTAGGGTGCGCGAATTTGACGCTGGAGAGCGAGAGCGAGAGAGAGAGAGAGCGAGTGAGAGTGGGAGAGAGGGGAAGAGAGAAAGTGAGAAAGAGTGAGAAACAGCTTTAAAAACTTATTTATTCACTCATTTCTTCCAAGAATAGACTTACATTTATGGCAAAAATCACTGAAAATGATGAGCCCGATGCTCTACAAAATTTTAACATCGGCAATCTCACTTACCAAACCCGGAAAGCTCTTTTAAAATGCGACTAATAGACGGAGACCATACAGAAAATAATGGCTGTTTACGAAATTCTATTTTGGTCCAAACTTTGGACTACAGTGTCGCCGCAAATATTGTGGTAGCCGGAAAATTGGCGGTTAACGATTTTCGCCTGGGCACTTAGTGGCGAAATGGCCCTGGCACCGAGCCAAAGGCCTGGGTACTTCCTGTCCCCGGTATTTTTCTCATATATAGTTCTTCCGGTGCGTTAGTACCCCACAAAAAAAAGTTCATACGGCTGATTCCTTCTGTCTCTACTGATTTGGGTCTGTTTCCAAAAATCTTAAGGCTTCCTGAAGAGTTGTTACATAGCGGTCGATAAGTACATAATTTCTTCCTTATGATACCCTAACCATACTTCTATTTTAGCAAAACACCGATGGCTTCAAACGAGACGGTTCCCCTGATTTTTCCAATAGTCTACACAACCGCTCTAACTATCGGCTCCGTCTCGGTGACCTTTTTTCTGCTGATCCTGATATATGGCCGGAAAACGTTCAACGAAGTACGATAAAGCTCGTAAGGTCTCACCCTTCAGGCGCCATTCTATCAAATTATCTACTGCCTGGTGGTCGTGGACCTGCTCCACTTGTTGCAGCACTGGATACAGATATTCCCCCAGCAGATATTTGGCTGGGGCGGTTTCCCGTTTTCCGAGTGGCTGCAGGATTCCGTGATTGGTATGTTTGTCATTAAAGGGGCTCCGAAATCTGGTCCACGGCCCCCTGCTGTGATTCCTGGCAAGTAGCCAGATGCCACCGCAACGCGACCGCGCCGCATCATCTTTTGCCTCTGTTTCGACGCGAAAACGCTTGAATTGAAAAATTCTCATGCTTTTTTTGGAATCCTCAACGAATTTTGATCGTTCCAGACTTTTAAATTATGAAAATTGACTAGAGAATCACCGAGATCGAGAGATTAGGTGCCTTACAAGGCATTACGACATGTAATTGCCGCGCACTCAATATGTCGTTTTCGCCCCAAAAAGAATTCGTTTTTTCAAACATTTTACGTTTTTTCGCAACGAAAACAGTTTTGTTGTACTCCTCGGCAGTGACTCTTCCGTTTTTTGACCAGTAGGCTCAATCCCCGGACGCACGAATTTTGACTTCCGAGCCCCTTTAAAGGGACGGGCAAGTGGCAGACTATAAATTTTGTCCGCGGCCGTGCACACGCAACCCGCAGCTTTGCGCACGCCGCGTGTTGCGGGCCCCGCACAATTTCTAGAAGATATGACCATAGAAACCTATAATCATACCGTTAACTACGCAATCTTTCATGACGATAGACCCATTTTTTATATTTTTTATAAATGATGCGTATATGTTAAAAAATTCTTTATTTTCAGGTATCTACGGCCTTGACGCTACTGATCAAGCTCTTTTTATCCTCGTGTCCCTGATCTCGCTAAACCGATTCGCCGTTTTTGTCGCCTACCCGCTGCAGCGCATCTTCACCAAGTAAGAGAATTTTTGTAGGATCACTTCTTAAACTACGAATTTTGGGTGATTTTAGAAGAGGTGAAAATTTCAATTCTTACAGAAATCTACGTAAAGCGCATGTTTTAGACAAATCAATAATGAAAAAACGCTCAAAGTGCTGATCATAACAAAAAAAAACCATTTTCATAGGCGCCGGATGCCGATCACAATATTTGTTGCCTTCCTAATTCTCTGTATCATCATGGGTCTCCGAGTGCTGGGACCCAAGCGACCGATCCCAAATCACCCCCCACCCACCAACACCCCATCCCCGGTCGCTACTACGATTGTGGCAGTTATCCAGTACGGGATGCCGGTCGTAAATTTATCTTTTTATGCCCTCATCTACTGGTCGCTGCGTCAGCAAAGGTACGGTAGCGGTGGGCACAGGATAAGATTTAATATCGGTTTCAACTACGTTTTGCGATTTCAGGCTCAAGGCTGCGGTTAGCTTGAAAAGCCACGACAAAGCGCTGTTGATCCAGGTGTTTATCGAAGCCCTATTCCTGGAGGTAGGAAAGAGGGCGAGAGAGGAAGATAGAGATAGAGCGAGCGAGAGAGTCCGAGAGAGAGACAAAGAGAGAGAGACGGAGAGTGAGAGAGAGGAATAGAGACACCCTTAGATTATGCGCTGTCTCGACCTTGTACAGCGATCAGGACTCGACGAAACATCCAAAGCACTGCTCGATACGGCCCGGATAGTGGCCACAGGTTGACAAAATTTTGTTTTCATTGTCCCTACTAATATACCCTGACGACCCGTTACGATTGCAAAAACTGATTTTTAGTCTTCAACCACTCGCTGAACTCACTCGTTTTCCTGTCTATGAACCACACCGTGAAAACGGTCCTGAAATCGATGCCCTGCTTCCGGAAGGCAAAGAGGTTATTTGCAGTTCGAAATGCCCATCAACAAGACCTAGCCACCACTAACCGATTATTTTAGAAACCGCTCGGGCTCGCAGCCGCTCTCCCTATCAATGAGGTTCTGATACTTTGATGTTTTTTTTTGATCCGGAATGGCCGCTGTGTCTTGCAATTTGCTCTTATTGATTTTGCTGATTTGGGAAGTTGGGAGAGTTGAAATTTGGCGCAAGGGAATACCGCGTATCTGAACGTAATTCTTTATTCCCCAGTGCAATACAGGTGTACAAATCATAGATGCAAATCAAAATCAAATCATACACGAAAAAGCTTGGTGTCAATCACGCGGATCGATAATGTTCTCTAAGCAATAGGGCGGCGCGCCGTGAGCTTCGAGGCTCTAGGCGGGGCTCACGGCAGCGGCTCGCGCGGCGCTCGGCGTCATGGCTGCCGCGGGACTCGGCGCGGGGCTGGTGCTCGACTTCTTTGGAGTGACGGCCTGCTCGCTGCAGCTCGACAGCGCGTTGTTGGCCGTCGGGGCGGCTCCTGCCGCTGTAACAGTTAGGTTCTCAGAGAATAATCTTGATAGGTCATATGTTTAATTCCAAAAAATCTATTAAAAAAACTACATTTTAAAATTTTAACCAAAAAAATGTTAATTTTGTGTTTTTAGCAAAGATTAACAAAGTTCTTCTTCCGGCACCCGATATTGCGCGTATTACGAAAGAAAGCACCTCCAAGAAAAACAACTACCTGGAGGAGGTAGCGGCTGCTGCAGATGTACAATGGTGGAACGCAGCTCCCAATCCGTGTGGAGGATCGCGGCGGGTCGGCCCTAAACTCGTGAGCACGTTTTTGTGTTGCTCTAGTCGAATCCAATTAAAGCGCACGTTCAGGCAGCATTTTCAACTCGGATTTTTCGGGGTCAAAAAAACGTTTTTATGGCATTTTTTTTGGCTTTGAATAGGCTTCCTAATTTTGCTTACAGACCGTCAGAACGATGAAATATCGTTGAGAGCAAGAAGTTTGCGCACCGGGCGGGGTCGAACCCGCGATGGTTCGCTCCACAGTCCGACGCGCTAGCCTTTATACCACAGGGCCAAGTGGGGAAGGAAGTCAGAGGCGCCCCAAACCCCAGAGGGTCTTTGCCCTATACGGGACACCACTAATGACGACGTTCTCTGCGCGTTCTTGGGGGCAGCACCCTCGGGGTGACAGTGCGCGTTCCATCGTTCTGGTAGTCTTTAAGTTTTTGGGAGGTTTTGCCTGATAAACTCGTCAAATTAGCGTGATTTGATTAATTCTGCCGGCAGAATTATAGGAGGACTAAAGGCTTACAGCATTATTATTGTTTTTTTGATATTTGCAGTGTCCATTTTTGGTGGAAATGGTTTATAAAAAGGAAGGGAGGACGTGGTTTTCATTCTTTGGTCATCGGTTTTCGGCCAGAATTATGCAAAGTTCCATATATCCTAGACGGGGCCGGGGTTGAAAAGCCGCGAAACGGGTTTTTAAAACCGGTTTTAGATTAATTAAGGTTAAGTTAGTTTAGATAAGTTAATTAGATTTAAGGAATAAAAGAAAAAAAAACCTGAAATGAGGTTGGTAAGCTATGCGGAATTTTTGATGTTTTGCGCGATGCTGTTAACGCTATTCAATAAAGCACAAAAAAAAAAAGAGACGTAGACATATACAGCCCAAAATAATGTAAAAAAGAGAACAGAAGTTATTGACAAGCGAAATGCCGAAGCTAGTTTTTGGGGTATATGGCTTGTTGACGTTATTGAGGCTGCTCTACGTGCTGCACTTTTCTAAAAGAAAATTGACCCCACCTGAATTCGGCCAGCGGACGAAAAGATCGTCGCGAGAATGGGCTTCTTGGCAGGGTCTTTGAGTATCTGGTAACCCCACGGGTGGATCTGAACGGGGCTGGATGTGCGGGTGTGAATGCCGGCGGTTACCTCATGAGCTCGCACCATCAACGACATGTTGATTTTCGCAAGCATTCGGCTTATAGCGGCCTTTGGGTACACGATGCTCAAACCGCGGGCCGTATTCGGCTTGTACCTGAGATTGTAGGGAGTTTACCATGGCCACCGATTTTAAAAAGATCCAAAGTAACGAAACTCCCAAAACTATCCGCACAAAGCGCTTTTAAACTAAAAAATGTGGCGAAATTTTTTGTGAGCTAATTTGTAGGATTTTTTTTGTAGTTTTTTGTGGGGTGATGGGTTTTCCCATTTCTTCTTCTCCCGTTATGCCTTTCTTCGAAACCACGGGAGGGTCTCCCAATAGAAAAAGTCAGGCTGGAATTTATCGGTCGAGCATGAAATTTTGCACAGAGGTACACAAAGGTATTTCACATATTCACAGAAACTTTCCGCCCGTTACCTACGGTAGTTTTCGAGTAATCGCAAGGCAAATTTTTATTTCATCTTTTTAAGCAAAATTTTGCAAGATTTGCACCTCAGAATGTATGGCGAAAATGAAGTGCCAAACCTTTTTATCCTAGGGAATTTTTACTTTGAAAAAGTCTGCTTGAAAATTGGCTCTTTAAGTCATTTTAGTAAAGACCAGCGCTGACCCCCCGCTCCGCGGGGGTTCAGCGCTGGCCCTCCCGGGGGGAAAATGCGAAACGACGCGGCTCCGGTGAAAATTTTCAGCCCCTGACTACGATAGACAGGGGGGATCGCGGCGGGATTGAATTCCCGGTCGGACGGGCAGACGGACATTAGAAATTTATATATAGTAGATAATGGATGTTGAAACGCAGAGGAATGGAAAATTTGCAGTAGAGGCTTGACGTGAATTGACGCAGAGTCCGAAAGATAACCGAAAAATGAAAGGAAAATGTTGGGGAAAACTGTATTTTCTGCGATAACCCAAAAACTACGGTAGCTAGTGGGGCTAAAGTAAGAGAAGAGCTACTGTTAACCAGTTATATACCTTTGAACACGTATTTTCAAAATGTCTAGAGATGCGAATCGGAAATGAACAAAGACCAGTGCGGCCTTTTTCGGGATTTTCATTTTCAGTTTTGTTTTGGAGAGTGCAAAAATGCTGATGCTCCAAAATTTCGGGCGATTTTTTTCAATTATGCGGTCGATGGGTTTTTCCGTTTGACAGCGCTTACTCGGGTTGATCGGCCAGCGGCTCGGGATCCGACCAGATCATGTCCATAACCTGCGGCCAGGCTTCGGTCTCGCTGAGCGGGTATGGCACATCTTTGAGCGCGTCCAGGCCCTCCTTTTCGAATTTTGCTGCAAAGGTTTGGGGGGAAATGCGGCGGCTGAAGCAGGGCTCACGACCAAATCCAGCGTGCACCACAAAGAGACCACGGCGTTCGCCGCCGACCAACGCGCACAGGGGCAGCAAATTGAAGACCCGGTTGAAGGCCGTCCACAGCAATTTGGCGTCCGCCTAAGGTGCTTTGTTGTGCTAGCCATTTCGGCTTACAAGGAGTGGCTTTTCAGTGATCTTCGAATTTTGCTATGTGACATAGCTCGTTCGATAGAGCTTGAAATTCTGAATCGATCCCATCTTTCAAAAGCTGCTGTACGATTACGATTTACGAGAAAATTCGCTCAGAAAGAGGCGATTTTGAGCATTTTTTTGGCCGACGCTTCACAAAATACCAACTTTCAGGAACAAACTTAGAAATATTGATTCTTAGGAAAAATGAATTTTAGCGAAAGTGACTTATGGGAAAAATCACCTTAGGAAAGATGACTTTTAGGAAAGTTGAACAAAGCCCCTTTGGCGGGTATGATGCGGTAGAAAAAAAATGCACATTGCGCTATTTTAAAGCGGAAAGTAGTTTTGATAAGCCCTGCAATGATACGTACTAGCGGATATCTGCCCACTAGCTCATCGAAAAAGCCGTATTGCCGGTTGATGTGCGCCGTTTCGTGATTCCCGCGAAGGAGGAACACCTGTAATAACATAAAAATGGTGCTCACGAGCTCATAGCATCTATGAATGCTATTGCAACCTGTTTCCCAAGAAGCTAGCCTAGAAAGGCAGGAAAATATTTCGAAGTCGTCAAAAATCATGTCCCGGCTGATCAAAAATCGGCGATTTTTTGCCCGGCAAAATTAAAGGGCTGCCGACGGCATGTGTCGATCCCCCCCATCAACAAATTGGCAAGTAGCCAACAGGGCAGAGAGCGCGTCCTGGGGAGAGGCGCAGAGACATTTTCTTTCTAGCGCGTAACCGATTGACTATGCCGTCGGCATCCCTTTAAGATTTGCTGGGTTTTTTAGTAAACGTGAAAAAGTGGATAAGCACCTTCAATGATACAAACAAGATCAAGCAAAATCCTAAGTGACCAACCTTATCTGGATACGTGATCTTCATCACCATAATCATCAGCATGCACTCCATACAGAACACGTCTCGGTCGACGATGTCACCCAGGAACAGTATCCTGAAATGCGCCGTAATTCGAAAAGGATATCGTCAAATCTTCGTCAAGTGGAGCACGGGGATTATAATGATACCAAGCATAAACAAAACTGAATTATCACTACCAAGGCAATTTTTTAGCAGGAGACGTTTTTACTGACGATTGGGTTTCCTTACGGCACCAAGTACCTCTTATACCAAGGTTTGGGCAGATTCCGAAGCTGTTTTCAAAACTTGAAAATGATTCGTTTAGAAACGTTATTAAACTTTCCCTGGCGAAAAGGGCAAAAGTCTGCGGAAATTGGGCCATTGCATTGCATTTTTGCATTTAAAACCTTCATAGCGTTTTTGTTCCGATCATTTCGCATAATTAGACACCGGTTTCGGGCTCAAGGCAGAAAATTCTGCACAGGAAACCAGATTATCTCTCAAAAACGTCTCCTTGTTAACTATATTTTCAAGGGCAATTGATACGGCGTACTTTAAGAAATCTTTGCAAGTGTGAAATTTTGTTAGAAAAATCTATTTTTTTTTACTGTGCTTTTAATCAAAATTTTTAGCGTTCTTGCGTTTAGGAAAGCGCTCAAGCCCTACTTTCCGCCTCCCGTGGAGAGAGCCGGATCCCTGTGTTCCCGTCGGTGGGCAGCGGCTGAGACGACCCGCTGCAGGGTGTCCCACTGAAAACGTCCAATCAGAAATCAAGCATGCCCCCACCTGTCCATGTATGTCGCCAACCATCGTCGTTTGGCCGTCGATTTTGGCGATCAATGTCTTTTCTTTGAGTTGCACGCCGGCGAATCCGATGAGCAAGGTCAGCACCTCCTTGACGGTGAACTCGGCCTGAATTTGAAAAAAGCCAATTTTTATTGTGTCAAATCGAATCGAACTTTAATTTTTTTTTCCGAGCCCGTTTGCCTGCAAAGTTTAAAATGTCATTAAAATGGCGTGTGCTGGAATAAGGGACGGGATCGTCGGGAAAGATGATTTTCTGAAAATGCCCCGCTCCCTGCGCTGCGGGCAGTAATAAATTTACGCTAAAATGGTTTTTGCGTATCTGAAAATCACGACATATCAATGGGTAAAAAAATTTGGGCGTCAGAGAGATCAAAAGTAAAAAAAATCAGTAAGCCGCACTTGTTCCCCGGCAGCTGCTTTTCGGTAGTCGAACAGTCGCTCGAGGGCCGACGGCACGAGGGCCATGGCGTCGTCCATTTCCTTTTGGCTCACCTTGGCCTCCTGGAATGGGCAAGTGTGAATGAAGGGCCCGGGAGCGTGGACAGACCTTTAGAGCCGGTGCTTTCTTGGCCCTGGCAGGACGGACCTGAAAATGGGAGCTGGACGAGGTGATGATTGTTTCCTTATTACTAAACACCTTTGAAATTTGAAAATTTGGCTTATCGTGCAAAGCAGGTTCCGGTCGATTTGCGGGGGGGCATACGACGCTTTATAGGGGAAGAAGGTCACGCTCACCAGAACCCCTACCATATCTTCGCCCCCGTTATCCTATCGGGTAGTAAAGTGTACCAAAATACTGGCGAGAGCAAGGCGAACATTTTGCTATACTTTACACACCTGTAGACCAACAGGGGCTGAGATACGAAATTTCGGGCACGCTGGGGGCGGGCGGGGGAACGCACTCATTGCACGTTCATGTTTTAGCATTCGGCGAGTATGTAACTTTTTACTTCATTGTGAGTTGGACTAGGCCAAAAAACCGCGACGCGGTTTTTCAACGCTGGTATTTTTCTAAAAAAAGACAGCTATGCCAACTCTGAGTTCCATTGCGCAGGGGGACCGAGGTTTGTCACAAGTTTCAAGCGGCCACGTTTCCTCCAATACCTCAACCATGGTCTTTTGCGACTCGTTGGGCTCGGCGCCCCCGGGGTTCCGTGATGGCGTCACGCTCCCGTGCAGCGACTAAAATCCAAGCGGTGGTGTTACTCAGAAAACAGAGCGATTTTTTCAGCTTACCGTCACGAAAGTTCGGAGCTCGGCTTCTGGCAGTGGCTCTTGATCCACGACCTCAACACCGCCGGCAGCGCGCGGCTAGAAGAATGTCGGGGTTGAGAAAATTTAAAAAGCCGTCAGCGGGGACCGATGTTGGCTGGCCAGATGGGTTTTTCTGAATTTTTAAATCGAAATTCCCAATGGTTGCAGCGGATCCAAAAAGGCGAGATGAAAAGCTGTGTTGCCGTTAGCCCCCCACCCTAGCGGCGCGCAGACGTATCCGATTTTAGACGATTTAGGTCCCTATCGAAAGCTCTCGACGAGCTGATAGGATCTAGTCTGTCCGATTTTTTGAAACTTCCAAATTCCGAATTTTTAATTTTCGGCACGTTTTTATTCACAAAAACTCAATTTATTCGGCTAAAGCTCATCCAAAGTGTGCTTTCTCAAATGGCTCTCACCGAGCTACCGCCGCGGGCCGCGAAACAAAAAGGCTGTAATTACTTTGGGTACCTCTCTATTTTACATGATTTTAGGTTCAAATTGAAATCAGTATTATATTTTTCGACCCTCTATCGAACGGCGTTAAAAAATTTTGGGAAGGCCTATATAATGGCAAATGAAGCCGCGCTAAACGCCTCAATTCCCAGTCCCCTGGCTTGGCAGGCGAAAGTCAGCGGATGAAAACGTTGCTTCAATACCCACCCGGACCACGATCGGCTATAACATAAATTATGTACAACCAGGGTTGAAAAACCGCTTCGCGGCTTTTCAACCCTGGCCCCGTCAAGGACCTATGCAAGTATTGCTTTGCATAATTCTTGCCGAAAAACGATCAGCAAAAAATGAAAACCACGCCCTCTCTTCCTTTTTATAAGCCACGTCCATTTCCGGCGTATGCTAATTTCTCCCTAACAAAGAGGGAAGCCAAGATTTTTACAAAAACTCAATTTTAATAGCGAAAATGGCAATTTTTCAAAGATTTTATGTGTGTGCAGTCGATTCCGGCCCCTTCTTTACCCTATGACGTTTCTTCCCTACCGAAAAAATGCTTCCCTGAGGCTGTAGGTGCGGAACATCCAAACGGAAGTGTATGCAAATATATACACACACACACACAAACACTATTTTTTTATATATAGTAGGATTAGTTTGTCAGAATTTCACTCACGTCCTCTGCTTTGTAATTCTCGACCCATTCATAATCAGGCGTGGGATAGCCGAACGTCCCAAACAGTGCCGGCAATTCCGTGATTCCGGATGGCTGTTGGGTTGGGTTGGGGGCAGACTTCTTCGCTGCCGGCTGGAAACAAAAATGGGGTTCTAGTGTATTCCCGGGGGGTGGGGGGAAAAGAATTCGCGGGGGAGGAAACCACTTTTTTTTTCCTGTCGGCCCTGGCGGGGATAGTAATCAAATATAAAGTGTTTTCACATTGTTTTTATCAAACTCAAATCTATTTGAATCCAGAAAACGTTTTAAAAAAGTTAGAAAAGCGCTTGAAAAAGTCGAAAATTTGGTCATTTTCGGGCCAAAAAAAAAATTGATTTTTCGACCCAAGGTTAAATTTTTTAACTAAAATTTTGTAAAGTCTTTCTGTTTAGGAATGGCTATAAAAAACTTAGAAACACTTCCACTATTTATGTAAAAAATCTAGGCTTGGGCCGAAAAAAGTTCGGTTTCTCGCCGCGAATTCTTCACCCTTAATTTTTTAAACCCGAGGTATTGCCAAGAATGAAAAATCCTTTCCTTCTTTTCGTTTTTGACAATTACTAAATTTCGATAATCTACCTTGGTTGGCTCATAAGCAGGAATCTCGTAGAGGATGCCCGTCTGATCGTTTAGGGTGGCCGCCTGCCCTGGCTCGGCTGCTGGAGCATTCGGATGAGGCGAACTTTTCATCTAAAGTTATGCGTATTCTCTAAATTGCGCTCATTCGAAGGGGTTCAACATTATACGCGGCCGCAAGAGCTGCACGGTACGTGCCGCGCGTGCCGATAGGTAACAACCATGTTGGACCTTTTGGCAGAAAAATGCTAGTTTCTCTCGTCTATATAAAGTGTTTTAGTAGTTTTTATTGATAGAAAGTTCCACAAAAATTTAAATTTAAAATGAAAAATGTTCCATTTTGGACATGTAATATCAGCCATTCGACGCAAAAGCTTCGCTTTTCAAAATTTTTATAATTTTAATGCGCCGTTTCGGCATCCAAAAACTGTGCGAAATGCGGCAACAATGGTGTTACAAACCGCAAAAATATGTTATTTTTGGCATCACCAAAACTGCGGACGTACCCAGAGATGAAAATCTTCGAGCAAGTTGGTGATATCGGTCATGCCGAAGACGGTTGACGACTTGAGTGGCTGCGTGGCAGGTGGCTCTATAAAGTTTCCTAGGGATACCAAGGCCCAAGAAGGTCTGGACTGCACCGGATCCGAACGAAATCTACATCATTCGAAATTTGTTTACAATACAGTTCAAAACCATGTTTTTTTATTTAACTGCGCTGTTTTACAAACGATTTTGCAAGGTTTGCGGTTTTTCAAGGTTGCATAAGAGCTAATTTGATCCATTTCTCCCAGCAAACTGACCGGAAGTAGTCGTTAATGAAATTCAGCGGCCGTGCCTTAATCTTTTTAAATGCGTTGTAAAATGACGCAGTTTTGAAGATTGTTGCAAACTCGGCGTTTCAAGGGCTTTCGAATGGTGTAACGGTCGGAATGAAGGAAGATCCGATCCGATACATCTGCGTCGAGTTGGAGAGGTTTTTTTATTGTGACACCCGGTCATTCAGCCTCACCCTCCCAATTTATTGTTTTGGCCTCCGAAACCGCAGCCGGAGCCGCTCGCGCCTTCTCCGTGTCTTCGTCCGGCGGTGTTAGTCTGTAAACGGAGCTCGTCAAGGGTTGACAGTAGCTTACGGCTCTGATTCGGACTTGATTGGCTCCTTGGGATGCCGACAGCACAGCATCCATACGCCACCGATCACCAGGAACACTAGCACGATACCGCCGACACCGATGCCGACAAGAGCCAGCGGCGAAGAAGTCAGCATGAGCAACAGACCCTCGTCGGTGAGGGCGGTATTTGGCATATTGGTGGTCGGCTCTGTGGCAACAACGGACTGACAGAATTTCTGAAAAGGATCATTACCACAAAGAACGGGTTTCCAAAAAGTGTTAGATAAATCACGGAAACCACGGAAAATCACGGTCTACCTTATTCGAATCGACGCCACTGCAAAGTGGCAATTTGGTGACGGTGAGCGATTCGAGGCCCAATTCCTTGTAGAAAGGGTTCCGCTCGCAGTCGAGCAGTCCGTCGGCTTTTACGATCGCCTTCTGGTCTTCCTGTAAAATACCGGATGGTTACAGTCGCTTCGCGACTGCAACCATCTTGCCTTCGGGCTACCCTACATGTCCCACTTGACCACATCTTTTCCCACCTCCATCAAAACCCCCCATAGCCGAAATCCCGTTCAAAAACTACCTAAATACCTTCCTGATGGCTTTAGATGATTTAAATAACGAATTAACATAATTAAAAAGTATTAAAAAGTATGAAAGTAACTCAAAAAAAAGATCTGGGTGCGGGAAAGAGCCTGGCGAAGATGGGCGAAGGGAAAGGGGGTGTGGCCTCCCGGGAGAGGGCGCCACTCGTTTTATTAAGGCGCCACTTTCAAAGTTAATTTTAATAATTTAAACTAAAACTTTTTCATAATTTTTTTATCAGTTTGGGGGTTTCTGACCACGCTCTACCCGAATCCGAAGAGAGCTAAGCTCTAGCTCCTTTCCCCTTCGAGTTGAATTCGGCTTCAGACGGACAGAGACCACAACAAAATTATTATAGGTGATGATGGGTGGAAAGATCTTGAAGCGCTGGCTAAATACGGGGAACGCTCTATTTCAAGAATATTATCTGGCATTCGATAGCACGAAAATTTGGCCGATTTGCTAGAACCTTAACAAACCTATATACTGCTGCGAAAAATCCCATCGGTGCTTTGAAAAATGAAGCGGGAAAGACTGTACGCCGTGTCCCGGTGCGAGTTTTTAATGATGCTTGATCTATTTAGTTCTACTCCTCAAGATTACATACCGGCAGGCCGTCAGTCTTGATGCATCGTGGATAGGATACAGTCGGAAGTGAAGAACCCTGACGCTTCACCCGACCTCCGTGCTGCAGTTGTGGATTTGCCTTGTCACCGGGTGTCTATAAACAAATGTCTCCAACTACAGAAAAAAAGCACCTTGTCCGATGGATTGCCCAGGTTGTTCGAAGGGCCCACTGGCTGCTCGATGGGGCTGTCAGAAGCTGGCTTTCTGGCTCGTAGACTCTCCAGGAGGTCAATCGTCTCATCCTCACTCATCAACGAAGCGTACGGTCCCGACTGGAATTCGGCAAATTCAAAGAAACATAGTGGGGTATTCACCAGTGCTCGACGAAGCGAGTAATATGGAGGGGTGCCCTTCGGATCAGTGATATCCAAGAGGACACACGATTCCGGAAGATATTGGCCATCAGATCGGGGGAATACGCACTGCTCGTCGCATTCTGTCGCCGTTTTTATCACATCTCCTTCTCCAGGATAGAACTTTCTAAACGAGCATCAATGAAAAGTGGATATCTATACATCGCTGCCGGATCGGACATGCAAAGATGCAGTGGATCGCATTTTTGACCGGCCTGACGACCGCCCCTCGGACAATACTAAGTATAAAATTCATTTTTCACTTTGGCTAGTCCGTTACGTTGGGTTGCAGAGGATCAAAGACGTCGTAAGGGTTTTTGTCAAAGCCTGTTTGATCCGTTTGCAGGTATCCGGCTGCCAGTTGAAGGCTTGGAATGCACATCTCTTTGATTGTTCGGTCCGCAGCACTAGCAGCAAGCACCATTCTAAAGTGTCCTTGTTATGCGTCTTTCCAAAAAATATCGCGGTTCTGTTCTATTTCGCGTGGGGGAAAAAACTGTGCGGGGGAAATATGCTTCGCGGAACCTTCCATCTTTTCGCTATTTGCTCGGGATTTTTGCAACGCCATTCGATAGAGCATCAAAAAATATACTAAGAGTTTTTGTTTTAGCTAAAAATATTGTAATATAAAAAAGTTATAGCAAAAACAAAAAAAAACTATTGAAACTGGTTCCGGAATGTTAGTTTTCGGCATTTTCGCCAGTTTTTCGACATTTTGAACCCGTCATTCGATAGAGCATCAAAAAATATACTGAGAATTTGAATTTCATCTTAAATTATTGTTTTATAAAATAGTTATAGCAAAAACAAGGTTTATTCGATGTTTCCACATGGGATCGTGGAGTCGAAAGTTAGTTTTCGACATTTTCGATAACTTACAAAAATTTCTTTAATGCCATTCGATACAGCGTTAAAAAATATACTAAGAGTTTTAATTACAATTCAAAATAGCATCATATAAAAGAGTTATAAAAAAAACGAAGAAACTTCCCCCGCACAGTTTTTTCCCCCACGCGAAATAGAACAGAACCAATATCGCTATTTCCGATTTTCCAAGGTTGACTCACTGCGGGATGACAAATCCAGCATCGCATTGAAGAAAGTATTGCGTCGTATGGGGTATGGAGCCAGGCATATATATTCGAGTGCTCCTGACAGACCTTTTAAGCTGTAGCCAACGTTGACCTACAAACTCTTTCCTTCGCATTGCCCAGAGGCCGCCATCTCGCGTGTGCACAGGTTGAAGGGCAAATAGGTCATCTCTGCAAATTTCAAAGCCATTACGAAATAATCAACCCATGCAAGTATACCATTTATTCCATGGACCTTGACTGGCGCAACACAATCCGCAGCCGGCATTTTATCAGCCTCCTGAAATTCTTGCATCGATTCGTTACACCAGAGCACATCTTCGGTTAGTATTTGACTCAGCGTTGCTCCTTAAAATGTAAAAAAAAATGTGGTAGATAATAGATATATAAAAATGTCTTAGAAAAGTTGTTATTAGAATGTGACTCATTTTGTGCAAAATGGTAATCAACAATAACAATTTTCTTGAGGCGTCAGTTGTGAAGAGCTGAAGCCTCGCCTCCTCGACAAAAACTGAAGCCGGATTCAACTCGAAGGCGAAAAGAGCTAGCTCTCTTCGGATTCGGATAGAGCGTGGTCAGAAACCCCCAAACTGATAAAAAATTATGAAAAAGTTGTCGTTTAAATTATTAAAATTAAAGTTCAAGGTTTTTTCTACATTAGTAAAAGGGTGGGGGGACGGACTTTGGCATGGTTTTCGACAGAGTGAGCCAGGTCGCGCGTGTTTCGTGGATGAAAATTTTCACCGCAGCCATATCCTTTCTTTTTTTTTCTCCGACGTTCTGTCGGTCGTTATTTTCGTTTTTAAGGGGATTTCGCCTAGGGCAGGTATCTAAAGCCATCAGGAAGGTATCTTAGTAGCTTTTTAAGAGCGTTAGGCTATGGGAGGCATCTGTAGGTATCAGTTCAGTTCCCCGACAATCATTTCCCCGACAATCAGGTCCCCGACAAATCGATTCCTCGACAATCAGTTCCCCGACAATCGGTTTGCCAATACTCAATTCCCCGACAATCATTTCCCCGTGTTTGTTCTCCCTGAAGAAGTGCTACGTGTTTGGGATGAGCTGATCGAGGTGATTGATCTACGCCTCACCCCGATCATGGTTTGGATGGAGCGATATTATGTTGGTAAGTCGCGGTATGAAAGAAATAATGCTTGATCAGGCATGAAGGGAAGTCGGGGAGAGCAGCCGCGACGAAATTCCCGTTTCAAAATCGCATTGTGGAACAGGCCGTCGTGTCGGGGAAAAGATTTGCCGGGGAACTGAGTGTGGGGGAACTAATCTGTCGGGGAAATGATTTTGTCGGGGAACCGATTGTCGGGGGAACTGTTTGTCGTGGAACTGAATGGAATTCATCTGTAGCCATTAGCGGGGGCATTTTCGGAGAGGTAGGGATGGGTGTGCTGGTGTATTACATGAAGGGTGGCCCGAAAGCCAGATCCTTCCTGTCGCGAAGCGACTGGAACTATGTATCTGGTTTTAAATTTTTATTTTGCCACCAAAAAAATTTGCCACGCTGTTAAAAGCTTAGAATGGCTTTGATTATTTATTTTTATTTTAGTAACGTTTTTGTGACATTTGATGGTCGCTATTGATGTTATCTCTATTTCCCTCTATTCAACCCCAAACCGGCACGGATCGAAACCAAGAACTTTCGCAAGTAACTTTGAGAAACCTACGCAAAATTGGGGGCGGCACTCGTCACATTTCAGCCTCTTGCCATGTGGAGGATCGGCGTTTAACACCTCACCAACGTAGCATTCCTTTCCCAGTGTGACATCACACGACGAGCACTAAAATCAGTATTCTTTCGATATCAAGTACAAAGCGTTTTTAACGTTTTACGTTACGTTTTTAAGTAAGTTCAAACTAGATTAGCGGCAAAAAAAACAACCAAAAAAGTTAGAAAAATACTTGAAAAGGTCTATAATTTGGTCATTTCGGGTCGGAGAATAATCTAATTTCCTAAATATAAATAAGGTTTGGGTATATGTCGGTTGTGCGGGGGGGGGAGACAATTTTACCGGGAGGGGGGACGAGACAGCCAGGCCTTTTTGGATGTCTTCGTTATTTTCTCGGGATTTTTGCAACGGCATTCGATCCTTCCGTCCGTGCTATACATGGTTTACAGGATCGGTGAGCTACCTTGTTTGATTCTTTTTGCGCATCTGATGTTTGCAGCCATGCTGGGTAATCTTGCCCGAGCTTGTCGAAGGAGTAGCAGACAAACGGTCGGGCTCCCAGACACTATGAAATGAGATCATAGAAAATATATATTCGGTGCTCCCTGCAACACCGATACTAACCGCTTCGGTAACGGCTCTGCGAAGACGATTCAAGTCGTCTGGTTGCGACTCGTTGGCACTTCTATAAAACGGAAAAGCCGTCCGGTAAGCCTGCCGCTAACAAAGTGGAAAATAAAATAGATTACCGAATTGGTGAGGCCCCCACGATCAACAGTTTAAAGATGCCCATCAGAAGTATCCCTCTTGAGACCCCATTGAAGACGTTCCGAAGCGGGTAGCAAGCTGGTTTCAGCTTGTGATGCATATCGGTGCTACAAAATATAAGATAAAACTGGTGGTGAGAAGAGCTACTTAAAAACGGCAGTGCTTTGAAAATCGTTCCTACCGAAGCTGTGGGTTTG